TTTCAAGTGCTTATAACACATATGCTAGTGGCTAGCATATTGGACAGTACAAAATTATAACATTTCGATCAGCACAAAAATTTCTGAATTGGTCAGAGTTGGTCTACAATGACTAATCTTCTTTTGCACAGCTACTGTAAATGGGTTCAGGTCAGTCGTTACCATAACATTGAGTAGGTCTATCTCATACCAATTAAGAGAACTTACTAGTAATAACAAGCTATATTTGCATACTTTCATTCACCCAAACTCAGCCAAGAGCCTAAGATGTACATGCTAGTTACATGTTACAAAAAGATTTATCAACCAGTCTCCAATACCCAGTTTTAAAAAGAATTACATCATGGGGATAGGGCATAGAAATATGTTATTTTTCATTTGAGAGAAATAGAGTAAGAGAAATGGAAGTTTTCATAGGGAAGATATCATACAGCCATAGAGCAAAGGCATGAATGAAATGAAAACCAGAATCCCTGTGCTGTGGTTCCAGAAATCCCACTGGCTGGGCATTTGGTAGTATAGGGGTAAGGCATTTGGCTGCTAACCAGCAGGTTGGTAGTTCAAACTCACTAGCTGCTCTGTGAGAGGAACATGAGGCCATCTGCTTCCATAAAGATTTACAGCCTTGGAAACCCGGTGTGGGTTGCTATGAGTTAGAACTGACTTGATGGCAGTGGGATGGCTTTTGTTTTGGGGCATTTAGGTTATTCTTGGTAATTAGCTAGATGGAACACTTGAAATGCTGGTTGAGGATGAGAAGATAGAGTACCTCCTGGGCAAGGTAGTGAGTGATGGCTTAGGTGCTGGCCTGACACCAGGAAGACTAGGCTTCACGCTATTTGACAGAGGCTAATTTTCCTCCCTACCAGCTTGCCTCCCTCATTCTCCTTGTCAGAGGAGGGGAAAGACCAAGGTGTGGATCTGAGTCTGGGGAGTGGGCTTCTAATCCTGACTCCATCACTTAACAAATGCCTTTAGGCAATATTTCTTTCTCGACCTTGTTTTTCTCATTTTTGAAGATGTTTGCCACTCATATTTCTGATGAGTCTATGGTCTATGTCAACTCTGTAATTCCATTACTTATTTTATGAGTGCCATACTTAAATATTACTCTGTTAATAGCTCTGTTTGTAGGCTTTTTATGAGTGTGTGAGGCTGTTCCCTATTAGATGTGAGATATATGTGAGATTAGCAATAAAAGGGGCATGATAAACAATGTACCTTAAGCCATTTAGTTTGGGACTATATTTGATGTTTATCCTTTTTTGCATAAATAACATGTAAAACATTTAAATCTCTTCCAATATTGAATTCTTTATTAAATAACTATGATACCATAAACAAGGAAGAAATGAAGCTATAATAAAATCAGTTTTTAAATAACAGGGCAAGGGAAGTAATGTCCTGGGCACTCACACCATGAATCAAGTAGAACTTACTTGTAAGTTCAAGAAGAAACAGGGTTGAAGATACATTTCCCTTAACTGTCTCTTCCCTTGTTTGTCTAAACTCTAATAGATAAAATTGACTTCTGAAATCAGTGTGATGGGAGACTCCTCCCAATCTCCTTTCCAGCATTGGAATGGGGGACAGGCTTACCCAGAGTTCCAATCAGGTGGGGGGCTATGGAACACCAAAAGCAGGCTCCATGACTGGTAACACTGCCTTGTGATATGTACAACTATAGCATTGATAGCTGAGAAAAAGGACAAGTAATTTTTCAACCAATCTCTCTCTCACACAAACTCTTCCTCGTATCTCTAGACTAGATCATGCTTCGATAGGAATGAAAAAAGTTATCCCTGAAAGCATTGATTGCACAGGAGATGATGCTCCAAGTGCAGGATCTCTAGATGACACCATGAAAAAAAAGCATGGTCCAAGGCAGGTATGCAGCAATTTCTGTACTTGGGCAAAGATGTTACTGGGGCTCCTTGAGAAAATGTGGGCATTTATGAAGAATAGGCAGGCTTTGGCCAGAACAGCAGATAGACCAAGTCAGGAGATGCCACAAACACCCCTACTGTCTTTCTCGAGAGTATCTGGCCACTCTCAACATCCAGGGAAAGCACTAACAGCAGCCGCTGAGTAAGAACATATTAGGGGAAGATCCAAATGGAATCATATTTTACCTTCAATGTCACTATTTGGGGAGGATGTATTCTACTACATTTTGTTCAATTAAAATAATGGAACTGAGAAATGTCATATACCAAACAGCACAAAATGTTTCCAGGAACCCTATTTGCCAGCTGTAATTCTAGATTAAAATGACATTAACAAATTCAGTTGGGAATACAAATCATGAACGTTAAAAATGTCTATGAGCTAGTTATGTGGACAATGAGAAACAAGAGTAAGTTTGCCTGAAGCATTTGACTGTTCATGCAGTACAGTTCAACTAGCTTTATGACTAGTTCTCACGTTTTCAGCTCTACCGACTCACATAAGGTTCCCTGGAGGCCCAGTGGTTAAGCGCTTGGCTGCTAACCAAAGGGTCAGCATTTCAAACCCACCAGCTACTCCATGGGAGAAAGATGTGACAGTCTGTTTCCATAAAGCTCTACAGCCTTGGAAACCATATGGGCAGTTCTCCTCTGTCCTATATGGTGGCTATGAGTCCGGATCAACTCAATGGTAATGGGTTAGTCCATTGTACCAGCTTTCCAACAAGAAAACAAGTTACGATAACTATGATTATGTAGCAAATATTCCAGATAAGAACATTTTTGGTAGATTTTTAAACAAATTGCCATTGGATTGATTGACTTAAGAAATATGATAGGTTATAAACCTTGTCAGTATCAAAAGGCACGATATAATGATCTGAATATTTTATTTTGACTTTACATGCGGTGTTAAAAACCCAAAGTACATATTATTTACACATCCACAATACAAGTTTACAAGATATCTATACATGTTAAAGTACTCTATAGAACAGTATAGAGCCACTTCACTTTAGGGTTACTTCTTATGCCGTACCATTAAAAAAGATACAATCTGTGTTTACCTTTGCACAAATGGATAAAGCATTTAAAAATTAAATTAACAGGATAGAGACTAGATTTAATGTTAGAAATTTCAACATAAATACTGATAGAACTCACATTACAAACTACAAGGCAGCACGATGTTACAAAATGTTATCTGGGTTCACATAGAGTTACTGTTCGATTTTATACACGCTGGGATTAATATCGGTAAGGTGAATTCACGTATGTTTGTAGTTGGTGGACTGAGTAGTGTTTATCATTGGTTGGTTTAATTTATTATTAATCTTTAATATTTTAGTTGCAAAGCTGAAATATTTCAAGAACAGAAGTTTTACCTTTTGAGCTTCCAGAGATCTCAGGGAATTGTGTTCTTTATAAAACTATACTTTCAAAGGAAAAGAATAATAGTATCAGTGTTCTTCTATATGCTGTATAAAAATGCTCTGGTCTTCTGAAAACCATCCTGCCCCAAGTAATACATTATCATCAGGGATATCGGGAGAAATCAGCTGAACTTACTTGTCTGAAAAAATCAGGAGCACGCCTCTGCCTTGGTGCTGTTTAGATCAGGTTCAACAATCAATCACATGGTGTGCAGCATATTAACTGAAACAGTCATTGGGGTTGTACACCATCAACCATAAGTGGTTTCTGGAAAACTACATATAAATGACTCTGTATGGTTTTCAGCAGGTGTCACATTACCTGGGAAACCTCATTTGACTTCACATTATCACTGTTTCATCCTTAGGAAAGCAGGAGTGGAATGTTTATCATGGCAAAGGATGTAATGCTGCTATTCGGATGGACTGTGTTACAATTAATTGTTCTAGATTGGGTTTTTTTTTATGATTTTTTAAAAGTCTTTTCAGGTGCTGGTTGAAAAACATTTATAACTGGCATTCAGTAAATGATGTGCTATACTGAAAACACTTGACATATTTTAGTACTTCTATCATTCTCATGAATAAGGCACAAAATGCACAGATTCAGGTAAACTCACACGGAATATTTACAGTATATTGTCATTACCTGCATGACTTAAGAGAAAACTCTCACATAACACAACATAGACAACATAATTGCACCACTGTTAGGTTTCACAGACTGTTTCTGTTATGCCAATTATAATTTCATTTGTATTTATCTTATTTTGTAGTTTGTTTTGTTTTACTTTGGGGGTAGGAGGAGTTAAGGGAGGAGAAAATTTACTACATGGGAAAAAATGAACATCATCAGAATAAAACCTTATTAGAGTGTCCAAGGTTCAATGGAGTGACTCAGACTTGGATTTGCAGTGGACAGGTAAATTTTACTACTGAATACTGGTGGATAAATCAAGGATACCTCTTATCATCTTTATCTTCCTAAGCTGGCAAGACTGTAATAGAAGTTTTAATGAATTGTTGTTGTTGTTATGTGCTGTCATGTAGGAACTGACTCATAGCGACCCCTCCTTGGGTTTCTGAGGCAGTATCACTACGGAAGTAGATTGCCCAACCTTCCTTCCAAGGAGTGGCTGGGGAGTTTGAACCGCCAGCCTTCTGGTTAGCAGTCAAGTGCCTTAGGCACTATGACACCAGAGCTCCTGTTTTAATGAATAGCAGCAGAAAATTACTTAGAACTCTTACATTCTGGCATTGGGTACCACGAATGTCAAGTTCATCATTTTGATGATCAAATGATCTTCGATTTTATTTTGTTCTCAAAGCTGAACCCAATGGACTGCTGTGGGAAAAAAGTTATTGTCTCTTGTTCAGTCATGCTTAATGTAAACAACTCCGTAGCACAAAAACATGTGATGGGCACTTACACTAGTCCTAGTGGGTACAGAACACACACACACACACACACACTCGTAACACAGTTTGTTTGGTGGCATGAAAAAAATGCCACACATAAAAAAAAAATGCTACAGTTTGGGTCAAAGACAATTTTTAGCAAATTGCTTGGAAATCTACAAGTTCATGTTTCTTTGAGACATACTATCTTTTTTTTTTTTTGGACATTTGTGCAAGAGGCAAGGTGAACGCATACATAATAAAATGTTCACATTTAATGGGAAGACCACACAGAATGGCAGTCTAAATTGAACCCATTTTCAAGTATTTGCTTACAGATTCTTCTGAGTACTGTGTCAGCTCTTTTTATACTGGTAAGGTAGCCCCTTAGAGCTACCCATCTCTTTAGCTTCAAACAAAAGAAATGGAATGACCAGCACCTTCCTTTGTTTTCAGGCAAGTACTCAGAAGCCTTGCTGCGGTAGCTACATGTGGCAAGTTCTGATGCTGCCAAAGTTAAAAAGAGTTTCTTTGGCCACTTCATTCTCTTAAAATACAAGCAAATCTCTTGTCTTAAGGTACCCTTACAGCATCCTCTCAACGTGTACAGGACAAAGCCACATGGGGATAGCACACTTGAGGCCTAGTAAGTGTATTTGTTCAGTGGTCTGACCGACGTGGTTTGAGGAACAAATGAAGGCTTTGGTGGCACATCAGGTTTTAAGGACGGTGTCCTCTTTAGTCCCGTCCTAGGGAGGGTGCCATTACTGGTATAGCTGCTCTGTCTGGAGAGGGAAGGCTGCAGGTGAACACTCACTGGTGTCCCTTGAATGTAGTCCACCTTCGCTCCTGAGGGGGTGGGCATGTATGCTGCACGGTTTACACTAGGCTGTCTGGATAACAAAACACCATTTGGTGAGTTCATAGTTTTAGGCATAGCTGATATAGAGTGCCTCTGTGAGGAATTTTTGTGATAGCCCCTTTGTCTCTCCAGAGAAGTCATTGGGACTCCAGGAGTGGTGGGGACGTCCACTCGCTTGGTTGGGCTATTTCTGGGGAGAGTTGACGGAGGAGAGTACAGTGATGCCTCCCGGTTGGGGACCTTAGGTGGGACCTCAGACATAGTTCCCACAGGATCCAGCATTAAGGTCTGGTGGGCCATTTGGATGTCTCCCATGATGGCTTTGGGGTTACTATTTGGGTCATTTAGATGTTTTAGAAGATCATTGAGGGTATTTCTGGAATCCACGGAACGCCGATGATCCCTTTTGCTGGATGATTTTGTAAGAGGGTGGTCAATATTTTGAAGCTTCTTTTCAGCTTTGTGAGCATTGGAGTTTGAGAAAGATGTGTTGTAGTCATGAGTAGCATTAGGGAGAACAATGGCACTGGGGATATGCCCATGACTTAATGGGGAATGGGGTGGAGGACTAGAAGGAAAAAACTGGGAGGTTTCTTTCCTTGAAGCTCCATGGCTGTGGGCCTTGTCTGAGTGGCTCTTCATGGCTTGCAGGGTCTTCTGGTGCAGCACAGGTGTAGACTCAGGTGTGGGGAGGGCAGCTAGCTCTGGAGGTTGGCCTCGATGGTCCATCACCATGGATTTGGTATCTCCATTGGGTGGTAGCTCTTTCCGACTGGTCAGAAGGTTACTATACAATTTGGGAGAATCAATATTCTGTTGATATTCCTTAACTGGACTGTCAAAGAGACCATTCAGTTTTGCAAAACTTCCACTGGAATCTGTGCATGACTGGGCAGACTCTGCATCCTTATGGATCTTTCTGGACTTCCGAACATACATATCACGATAACAATATACTGCCACACCTGCAATGAATGCACCCAAAACAAAAGCGGCAAAGACACAGGTGATGAGGACATTCATGTGGACCATCTGGTTGGACTCCCCAGACTGGACTTCCCATCGTACACCTGCAACAGACACATAGGAAAAAAGTTTCAGGAAAGTGATTTCTTAAAATATCAATCAGCATATGGCTTCCATTCAATGGTCCATATGCTTGGAAGGTCAAGTTGGCTCTCAAATTCTACATTTATTCTTTAATTACAGTGGGATCCCCTGAAAGATATACGTTTGCTGCAAATGCCAGGATAACATTAATTTCCCATTGATACATATTTGTTTTCTCTTTTTTCCCAATACTTCTTAAATAGTTTTTATATAACACTAGAAAATTTGAGCCAACCTAAAAATTAGAGTTGTAGTTTCTATTTTCTAAACAGCCAATTTTCAACTCACAAAATGGCCTGTTTCATGGTTTTCTCCTAATTCAAAAGTCATATTAAAGGGCAACTGGGATTAGGGAAATGTGTGAATTGGCATAAATATACATTATGCTCAAATAATTATGCTAATATGGTCATGCTAACTTCACTAGAATAAAAAAAACCACAGTGCATAATTTGTTCACACACTAAAAGCATCTGCTTGGTCGATATTAGCTACAAATATAGACTCATATTTGATTTTTTTTTTTTTTAATGTATTCCATCTTGAGGTAGAGCACTCTTGAATCACCTGGTATGTAAGAAATCCAGACAGTCTAAGGAAATATACTATGTGTTAGTTAAGAAATATCATTCAATTATCTTGAGATATTTAAAAATTATTTAAATTAGACCTAGAAAAAAATAGTGAATTAGTTTGAAATTATTGGAGCTTTTAATGCAACCACAGACATCTAACAATCTATCAAAGAAATGTTAGTTTAAGAGGTATCCAAGTCTTTTACATGCAATAAACAGAGCTATCCCAGAGCAAGTTAAGTCAGAATGATTTTGAAGATCTTGCTGCTTTAGGTTAGTACTAAGGCCTTTAAATATTAGTTGTTTGTAATCAATGTTCATGGTTATGGATTTCCGTGGCATTGTGAAAAGATAAAGAAAGAAATGTAGAAATAAATGATTACTAACAAAAACAAAGCAGAAAGAAAAAGAATTATAAAATGGTTTATAACAAAAACGTATGAAATAAAAATCAACAGATGTAAATAAAAAATGACAATGTACTGCCATAAAGACTGATTGGAAACCTGATACCACAGTTTAGTAAGCAATAAAAAATAGATTTTTTTTTCCCTCTGGAATAACATATTTAATAAACCGACTCTACAGGCAGCTATTTTGTAACTGCTTCTATTAACTGCTGAAATGATAGTTATGAACACATACTTGGTATGTTTTATTGCTGTGGCATTCAAACAACTTAGTGCCTTATAGAACATATCCTTTTCATATTTCATTTTGAATTGAAGCTAAACAGGAGGCTGGGAAAGGCTCCTAGACAAAACATCTGATATCAGGCATTAAAACTTAATTATTTACAAGTAAGTTTTGTTTTTTGATGTTGGTGGGGTGACCCTTGAAATTCTCTGATATCCGATAGCCTCCCAGACTCTTCAGTACAGCCAGTGGAAGCACAAGTTACCACCACCAGCAAGTTCATTTAGGTTCACCTCTGGAGAACCCTAAGTTCATATACTCCTCAGAGAAATTCAGAATCAGGTTTCCACTCAGTTGGAGATGAGTTCCCTGGTGAGGCCTTACCCTTTGGGATACCTGATAAAGGATCAGTAAAATCAGAAGTATTGGGGTCATCTTGAACTACAAATTTCCGGGAGCTCGTCAGTTTAGGTTTCCAGGAATCAATCACTTTAGGTGTAATTTCTGGGATACTTGCCATTGTGGTAACAGAAGACGAAGATACCTCCATGTCTGTGGTGGCAAACAGATTTTTATTAACATGGGTAGTGTTGGCAGAGTTTTCTGAGTGGTTTGTTGCATTTTTTAGTAAAGTTTAAGTAAATCTTATGAGAAAGCCTGTTGTAGGATTTTACAAAAACACCTCTGAAGAGACTACATCAAATTCCTTTCTTCCAAAAGAAGAACAAAGACTAAAAATCAAGAATAAAAACACAGTAAATGGATTTGAAATTAAAAAAAAAAAAAAAACCCTCAAAACATTCCTACTGAATGCCCTATGGTATTTAAGGGCACTCATGGATAGAAGAAACAAATCTCAACTCCGATTAATTGCTGCTTTCTCATCTTCTTATGACATAATATCATTTCATTTCTTTTTGTGTATATTTTTAGAAATATTTTCATAGATGATTAGAAACTGTGTATCCTTCACTGGGGAAGTGCAATGCAACATCATTAGAAAACACCTTTTTAAGTCCCTGTAAGAATCTGAATTTGGACCTGTTAAGTCTAAAAGGTTGTCTTATCATATGCCTCCCACTTATTTGTAGATTATTCTCTTCACGGAGGGCCTACCATCCATGATAAAGCATTGAAGCAGGGATGAACCTTGCCTATGCCTTCCAAAATGCCCGGGGACTTTCTTCCGAAGAGTTAGCAGCAATTCGTACAAAATAAATGGCATTTACAAGCTGGATAAGGATGTTTTGACACGTAAGATATGCCATCCTCCCCGACCCCCAGGAATGAAACTGCTGGCGAGTTTTAGAAGTAGCAATAGACCAGAGTAGTTTTAGTTATTTGTTTATTTTTTGCCTATCTGTTACAAACTTCAGCCAAGTACATGTTCCCTCAAAATATAAGCATGTGCTTTTTTAGCTAAAACCTCAGGAATCCGAATTCAGACTAGTGCAATGGTCACAGATGAAGGCTCCACCACAGGTATACACAGAGAGGCATGGAGAGTCCATCGAACATCTTAATACATCAGAAACCAGCTTCATTTCAACAGAAGCCTTTTTCACGCCACTGAGACCACATCATTCAGATTCCAATGATCACCACAAACCATTTAAAAAAAAGTGCTAAAACATATAAATACACATTTTTGAGAAATGTGTATTTGTTCAGTAGGTTGTAGAAAAGGTGAGGAGAAAAGGGGGAAATAATGAAATTCTGCCATCCATTAAAGACAGATGGTCAGAGAGAACAGTCACAATGCAGGGGTGGGAAAAAGAAAAGCTTGGGTGATGTGCGTGCAGCGGGAATGCAGTCTATGTTAATCCACTTGATTTTTCTCAAAGAATGTGTCTTGGTCGATGATGAACTGTTAACATGCTACAGAGGGGTGAGGTGCTGAGTAAGAAAAAGTCTTTTGGTACCATCAGTGAGATTATGAGTCAAAGCAGAAAAATGAAGGGCTGCCAAACTGCGCAAAAGGAGGGGAGAAGGGGCTGAAAATGCCAAACTGAAGGAAAGAAAAGATTGTTAATTCAAAAAAATTAAACAAAACTAACCAGATGTTGGACCTCCAAATATTTTGTAATCTGGTGTAGTTGAAGTAGGCAAAATTTCTAAAAGAATTAAAGGAACAAGTAATCAGTAAAAAGTAACCAAAAGAAAGCAAAAAATTTATAAATTCCAAATAACTAAAAAAATAAAATAAAAGGCTATAACTTAAAAAGATTAACCTACTGGTTAGACTACTGTTCTCTCTACTTCCTACAAAATTGTAAATGGTGAAGGAAAAAAAAAGTAAGATTCTTCTCTAATGCACCCCCATGACCAAACAGCTCAGCTTTTGCGAAGTTTAAGTTAAATGCTAGGTGGTATGTGTCCCGAGTTATTAAATAGGCTGATTGTAAAATAATGTTCACGTGCAAATGCGGTCAAAAAGAAGCGCCAGGCAGGAACGAAAGATTCCGTCTTACCATGGCAGTCCCCAAGGTGGGCCGTATTGCCATATTCTGTGTCTTGCTCATATCCTCCAGCACTGTGGTTATGGAAAGCAAAGAAGTCTTCAGTTAACAGTCTTCATAGGAACACACATGACAACCAAAGCAGAACCAAGAACACAGACTGATTAGCAACAATGGGCAGAGAGGAAAAAAATGACATTTCAACAGAACATGCTAAAATGAGTCTGTCTGTGACAAGTTTCATAGCTACAAGATTTACGAGAGTAGAATTGTTTTTCTTCTCTCCATTTCCTTTACGTATTATTTTGTCTATAATCTCCCTTTCTTTTTTTCACACTCTCCAGGTTTTTTTTTTCCCCCATGCAAACAAACAAATAAATAAAAGTACAGTGTTAGTGGAACTTTTCTAAAATTTCCAGCTTTATGACCCTCAACAAGACAGTGCATGCCAGCTAAGGTAACTACAGGATACTTACAACATCCCTGGGGTCACTTTTCCACAGGCTCCCTGGCTTAACCAGCCACAATATGGGTCACGAGATGCAATACAAGACCTGTATAAAGCCAAGCAGAATGTAACTTGGATTTTCTCTTCATCAAATGTCTTGATGTTGTCAAATCCAGGGTAAGCAAAGAAATAGCAGCTTACTTTTTACATGATCCATAGCGCTCACAGCGACTAAGGGGGATTCGAATAACGCAGCTAGAGAATGCCACATATAAAGCATGGTGATCTTTATCCAACTGCAGGGAGATGACTCTTCTGTCCTCCTCATTCTCAGCATTACACCTATTTCATGGGATACATTTTGAAGCTATCAGTCAAAAGATAGATGAACTGTATAAAGCAAGTTTGGTTGGATTTCTGCAATTACTGAAAACTGGGAAGGTTTTCAGGACTGTTTTTGGTAGCTAACCAGACAAGTACATGGTTCGGGAAGTAAGAATTAGGTAATTTAGCTTCTATTCTCTACGTGGATTGTTAAATTTCAGGCAGGACAAAGGGTCTTTTAAGTTTGCTTTCCTGTTTCCATGATCTAAGGGAAATGCATTTGTGAAGATCATGTTAGACTCTCAGAGGAAAAAAGATAAGGTTTCCATGCTAGATGTTTCTGGATCTCTCCTTAGTCTCCTTTGCTTCATTTCTTTCACCTATTTCTTGTTGTTTTAATGGTATGAGTAATCTTCTGTAAGTGGCTGCAAGAAAATGCTTAACTAGAATTGCATTCTGTGTATATGTGATGAGCATGCGTGCATACTTACAACCAACTACCTACTGTAATGTAGCATCCTAAAATATATCTGCAAGGCAAGATGTGTGCTTCAAAAATGCTCTCATTTTCCACAGGTGAAAAATAAAGGCTGAATTATTTTTAGACTCATCAACTGTTCACCCTCCTTGCCCTAGTGGGCTCAGGAAAACAATAAAGCTAGGATTTATTTCAGTGAGGGGAAAAAAAAAGAAAAAAAGCCTCTAATGTGCCAAACCACTGCTAATTTAAAGGGCTGAAAGGAAATGACTAGATGAAATATACACCGGAAATTTTTGAGGAGTGCCGAAGAGTGTTCTCGTAAAATATACCTACTTTGCATGGTTGTAAGCTTCAATCTCTTCCAGTAATACGCTGTCGTTCAAAGAGAAAGGACTGGTCTTTGCCAAAACTTTAAGTACCATGCCAGCTTCAGAGCCAACAAAGATGACTGTGTAGTTCTGGTAGGGTCCAGCAGAATGGTCAATGGCAATGGCCGTCAATCTGTACCTAAGAGAAGATGAGTGGCAAGTCAGAGGGAGAGGCCAACAGGAAGAGAACGTGTTTAATGTGTGCGGGCCACTGTTCCCAGCACCAGCTTACCTGACCCGAGTCTTTGTGAACCAGGGCTCGTCAGCGATGGGTGGAACAGCAGAGTCCATCAAGGGGTGGGACTTGATGAACGACAGTGTTTCATCAGGAAAATCGATGGAGGTTTTATATGCTTCGGCAAGGCCATGCTTTGCACAACAGCCGGGCCTAAAAGGAAAACAATGAGATTTTTTTTTTTTTAATTTTTCACTCACAAAACTGTATCTAAGGAGTAAGTGTACATTCTGAAAGAAGAGGTCAAGCGAGAAAGGAAAATGAACAAACCAGAGGAGCAGTGGCATTTTGCCTGAATTCAAAGGGTCCTCCACATTCACACTTGCAGTGCTGTATGTCAGGGAGTTAGGTTATTAAACTCACTGTCTGAGATGCTGTGGAGGAACCCTTTTCCGACGTGGAAAAGTTGGCCCAGCTTCTCTCTGAGGATAGATGCCTCCAATGATCAGAGAGTTGTTAAAGCCAAAAACCTTTACCTTGGCTTTGGCACTTTGTCTTCAGGGACTGCTGTCCAAACAGAATCTGGAGTTTTCTGCTCTTTAAACCGTCCTTTGAATACTTTTTCAATGTCATCCATGCTAAAGGCGCAGACTGCAGAACCAGGAATGCTGAAAAAGGACAAACATCAGGGAGAGGCCTTGACAATGAACCTGCTCTTGGTTCCCACAAGTAAGCACACAGTGTCTTTGAAGTGCAAGGCATCTCTTCTCACCTGTTGAGCTGTGTGGTAAATACCCCAACCACAGTGGGGACGCCATTGATTTGCATTATGTCTGTAATAGACTGCAGAACATCAAAATAGAAAAACGAATCTCCAGGGACAGAACAGTTGAGCCGAGCCTTTAGAAAGGAAGTCCAATGTTTCTCCAAGACCCGCTGGGAACCACCCATGTCGTTTTTACATATACGGGCCACACGGGAATATACAGCCTGCCCAAGGGACAAAAGCAAAGCAGCAGGGATGTGAGCATGTAGGTGGAATGGAAACAAAAAGTGCTATTTAAGGAACATAAAATCTAAAGATATGTCTGATTCAAAGGAATCTAGCAGCCTTCTCTCTAGGGATCTGTACAGTAAGAATGCAAATGAGATTTACCTGTGAGAAAAAGAGGCCATTTCCCTGTTCTGCAAAACAAGCTCCACAAGAAGTGTGCTATCTACTGCCTTGCTGAATGGAAACCATTCTTACACTTTGTCTCCAACTTTGCTGCTGCTCCTATTGTAAATGAAATGTGCTGTCCTGAAAACTGGCACAGAAGGGGTTGCACTACTTTAAAATCATGTGGGCTTTTACTAAAACAACCAAAACTAGACTGAGGAGGACTCTGCTTTCCATATTGCTTTTGACATTGAAAGAAAATAAAGTGTCAATGGATTTCTGAAGAGTTTAAGCATCCATACTCAAGGATGTCTATAGAGCAGTCTCTGTAGTTACAAAAAAAATGGAACCTCAAGGCACAAGGCTGCTGTTTTCACTCTGACCGCTGTTAAGGTCTTTTCCAGCAGTTATTCTCATGATCAAGTCCCTGAATAGGGCACACTGTTAACCCAAAAGTTGGAGTTTCAAGTTCACCCTGATGTACCCTAGCCTGGTGAGCTACTTCTGAAAGATCACAGCCACTGAAAACTCTATGAAGCAATGTTCTATTCTGAGACACAGGGAGCCATCACGTGTCACAATTGACTTAACGGCAACTGGTGTATTGGTACTCTTATGATGAGCTACTCATCTCTCTAAACTTGGTGCTACCTGCACTGAATGGACTACTAGAGAATATGTCAAGGGAATAGCCATAACTTTACCAAACCAGTCTCAATGCCATGCAAAATCATACAAGTCCCATGCATATACTTGCCTTGCCTAAATTATTATGTTCTACAGCAATTTCTCGAAAGAAGAAATAGACATAATTTCCATACTCTATGGCGTGAAGGAAATGTGGCTCTGAAAGAAAGATGAAAAACAATCTGATTGCTAAAGGATAATTCAGTTAGCATAAGACCCCAATGCCAGCCATGACTGACAGATGTCGCATGATTACATCCATGCCAACAAGAACTCTGATACACCACTGATTCTGAGGAGTCCCAATATGGGTGTGCTCAAGCTTCAGGGAACCCATAGTCTTTAATGTCAACTAATGGACTGTGAAAAGGCCTACAGGGAACTGAACTACAGCAGAGGTCTTTGTTTCAACAGATTTATTCATTAACCTATTTAACTAGGGAAGAAAACCTCTGTCACTGAAAATGAAAAATCTTGATTTCTAAACTCCAAAGAACAAAATGACTCAGCAGATACGGACTAATTGATTCTCATCATTAACTTTCCAAGCTAGGTAGAAGGGAGTAAGAAAGAATTATTATATGCATTTAGAGGCAAACAAATTGGCATACAGAGATGAGAATTGTTTTTGAGGTCACCCATGATAAATCCTGGATGAACATACTCTTTACATGACTGTTAGCCTCTTCACTTCCCATCAATGCTTCCGTTCAATGAGCTACAGCAAAACAGCTTGAATTTGTACTAAATAAACAATACAAAGCTATGCACAGGACCTCCTGACATCCTCGGCTGCTGTCTCCACCCCCTTCCTCCCTACCCCTAATAGCCTTGGCACTGCCTTTGGCCTTTCCACACTGCTGATCCTCAAAAGTACCTTTTATCCATTTGGAATCATATTTAATTGTGCGAAGGGCAGATCCATCGCCCATGCTTCGATAAATAACAGCATCACTTGCCAAGAAGTCAGCCACCGTGGCAGAATACAGTTTTCCATCTAAAATCAAAGTTATAATTTTGGTGAAATAACCATAATTATCCTATGATCCTATGTAGCATGTTATACCTTTTGGAGTGCTTTCATCTGTGTTATTACTGTGTATATAAATAAACCAATACCTGATGCTCACAACTAATATGTGACAGGTGGGCCCACGATATTACCTAATTTTACAGATGGAGACTTAAGCACCAGAAAGTTAAACAATTTGCTCAGGGTCAGTGGCCAAATTAACAATAGACCAAGTGTCAGAGTATTTATAATGTGCACTGAAATATCCTCATTTTTAATTCTTCTTTTCTGGAAATTTGTTCATAGATTTTAGTCTTTGAAACACCTACATTAAGGTGGCTATCCAAGTTGTGAGCTGTTTTTTCCTTTAAATTCCTTTTCCTCCTTCAGTGTCATTAATCATTCACTTTCATTACACTTAAGAATCTTACCAGCAAAGAGGGCAACATTGGTTTGTCTGGCATCAAATGGGCATCTTGCCAGGCCACTGATTTCTTCCCCGTCATACTCTAAGGTATTCAACTACAAAAGAAAAATGAATAGCTGGTGTCATATCTGGTCAATGGACCCGTTTGAAGGCAACATTGCTTTATTTGCACTGAAATTCTATTTGTAGCATTCTGTCTTTATTCTTCCATAGCACTAGAGATAAAACAAATTACTGGATTCTCACAGAAGGGATTCAACTCTAATAGCCTACAGTGAAGGAAGAAAGCTTGACTTTTTTTTTTTTTTTAAGGGCATAATATAAAATATACTTACCCTATAGTATCTACACATGGGATTAAATGCATTGGTACCACAAACAAAAACCATCTCATCATTTCTTGGAACAAATACTTTAATAAAGTTGTGACATTCATCCTAAAGAAAATAAATTACTATATTAATATTGGACATTACACATAGGTCTCTGGGATCAAATCCAGAAAAAGATGAAATCTAGCAGGCATTTTATTTGTCTGTTTAACTTACTTTATGCTTGCCTTTCATAGCACAGTTTTCTCGATCCTGTTGTCTTGACCGCCATGTCAGTTTCTGTATTAATGAAAAAAAATCAAAGTTCCACTTTTAACTATGAAAGTTATTGGAGAGGCAAGGGAGACGATTCAAGTTCTGAGTCACTACAAATAAATTTGACAGCTACAGTTGCTTACTTTGCTTGGTATTACTTCTGTTTTGGGGATTTCATTTAAGTTCACTGTATAAACTTGATCCCTGTTGGAAACAAGGCAATAAGTCACATCATGTAAATGCATAAAAATGTTAAGCTGCTTCTTATTTTATTTTTACAGATCTGGCTTTATTGTATTTTGGAGATCTAGATTTTCTCTGTCTCAAACAAAGTCAACAAAGGGTACTTTTTCATTAGTGAGTTGCTTTTATATATCACAATAGTCAGGGAGCAAGGAAAGCTCTTCTCTCCAGGCATAGGTCAAACTGCTACTTGGTATTAGCATAGACATACTTCCAATATTTGCTTGAGTAATTCTAAGTTAAAAAAAGAATAAAGAAAGATTTTTTTTCCCCCTGCTGCTTTAGGAAAAAAAGAATGGCGTATGATTTCTTGATGGCAGTAATAACATAGCAACACTAAAGGCTGGGGCTTTGCATTTTACTCCTGGTACACAACACTGACTCTTCTCAGTGAGTATTTTGGCTACTTGCACTTTTTGATCACAATCACATATTAGTTTTTCATGAACTAGACACATTAATGCAAGCTCCACAAGAGAAAAGAATTTTAATCTAATAAACCAACGAGAGGAAAATTACCTGCCAGCAATATAAAGTGTGTCTCGAATTTTCAACATCAGCTGAAAGTCCAGCTTGTGCTGCGATTCATTGCCTGAAGGGCGTCCTCTAAAAACCGGATATTGCCTTGAATCTGCAAGTAAAAACGGGCTAAACCATCAGTCAGGATTATGGAGCTGAAAAATCAATATACAGCATTGATTAGCTGTATATACTAGTTGTAGAAGGGTTTTAACTAAAATTCTGTCTTAAGGTCTTGCATATAGATGAATAAAAGATGGTGAATATTAGCAAATGGCCTTTTGCCTTTTAACTGGAGATACATAACCTATAGATGAGTTGCTTCCCCACAAAACTGTCCCATTTTCTCCAAACACTAGGAAATGATTGTTGTTGTTATGTGCCATCCAGTTGGCCCTGACTCATAGCGACTCCTCCTTGGGTTTCCGAGGTGATATCACTACAGAAGTAGTTTGCCCAACCTTCCTTCCGAGGAGTGGCTAGTGGGTTTGAACTGCCAGCCCTCTGGTTAGCAGTCAAGTGCCTTAGCACTATGCTACCAGAGCTCCTAAGGAAATGATTAAGGATGAATTAATATGATTTTAAGACATACAACAATCTCTCTCACATCCCAATGGAATACGTTAGAAATCAAAACCAAAGAAGCTTCCTTCTTGAAAAAAGGACTCTTCTATAGATTACTTACAGTGATAATCAACAGTGTTAAGGGGCTCATCGTCTTCAGGAAAGCTGACTGCCCTCAGCTGGGAAATCATAAGTAGTAGCATGTAGGCACAAAGTAGGAGAAACTTCATGGTGGTCCAAGATGAACTCAGAGCAGCTCCTCCTCAGAAATCCCAGGAGCTACCTGGAAAACAGAAACCGCTTGGAAAGATTCATATGTTGTGATAAAGCTCTGTTCTCATTTATAATCAGCTCAATTTTCACCACCAGCTCCCTCCAGCACCCCCTTCCACCAAGAATCCTGGCTGTGGTGGATGAGGTATCTCTGAAAACACAGGCACAAGATGGCAGCACTCCAGGCCTGATGAGAGCATCTGGTGAGCAAACTGCACTTTTGGGCAAATTTGCAAGCTTTGCGGTAACTATGTATGTCATCACAGCAAAATCACCAGAACCACAAACAGAAGTGTTGGCTGCTGATTTGGCAAGAAGATAGGCAAAGCTGGGATCTGAATATTAATTAAACTCCAATCTTCTTTCCTTCACTCACTCCTGATGTGCAGGAGTCTTCCTGTTGGTCTCTCCCCCTCACCATAACATACTGGAGCTGCCTTGCAAATATCCAGGGGGTCGATGGCTCTTGTGCTCCCTTATCAGTTCATTGCTGGTTATCTTATTTAAGTTATTGCCAAATTCACAACATAAGCCAAGCCTTAGCCTTCAATATTTAAGTTTAGTAGTTCTAAGGTTTAGAAAGATCAACGGAGTCAATGGCTTGAATAACCTTCAATCAAAATGAAAGAGAATTAAAAGAAATGAAGTGATTTTATGGTAACAAATCAACCAAAAAAGGGCAGAGAAGCAGCAGCACAGCTGACATCAGGCCACTGGGGAAGTGTAAATTGTCACATAATACCATTAGGACACAAACCAATACCTTAAGTAGGCCCAGCTTCTTAGCTTTATTGAACTTTAGAACTGTAGGGGACCTTAGGGATCATCTAGTCCAACCTCCTCATTTTTCAGATGAGAAAAGGAAGGGCCAGAGAAATTAAGGGACTCACTGAATTTCATGGAGCTAGTTAAGACAAGATCAGAGTCCAGACTCACATCACCTGAGTCCCCATCCAGGCTCTTTTCATCAAATTAGATAAAGAAATTAAATGACTTTTTTTTTTTTCTTAAAAAATATAGCATTACAAAATATTTTGAGGGGAAGGATAATGAATATGTTCATTATTTTTGTTGAAGTGATGGTTTCACAGCTGTATACACAGGTTAATTTATCAAATTATACATTTAAGTGTAAGCTTTTTTATGCTAACTGTACCTCAATAAAGCTGTAAGAACATGGAAATTAGAAGGAGTTGTACAATAATGAAGATCAAACATTTTTTATTATCTTTACATGTTAACAATTTATTAAAATAATAAATTAGTGCCCTGGTTGGGCAATGGGATGCGTGTCTTAGTGAAACTGTAAGGACTCCACTTCACAAAAAATACTACTCCTTCCCTAACCCAGTTGCCACTTCTTGCTATGGTATTGAACAGTAACACATTTAGCTTTATTCTTAGTCTCATGAACCTAAGAACTTTTGGGGAGATCATGAGAATCACTTCAAATTCAGAGGGTATTCAGCCACTCAACCAGGTACTTACTGTGCCTTTTTAGTCCATTCAATGCCAAACACTTATACACACACTCATGCATGCTATTATTTTTCTATCTAACTAAAGTAGAAGTCAAGAACAAGTGAGATTCAGAATCCTAGTTTTGCATGGAAAGAATAGTTTTTCAATGAAAACCATCTTAACGGTTGATTAAGTCAATATAAAATGCCCTACAAGAAATACGATGGGGTAGAACCAGCATCATTTTGTACTCAGGTTGAGAATGTGGACTTTGGAGTCAGTCTAACTTTGAAATTGGCTCAAGATCCATCAGTTTCTAGCTGCTTAACCTGTGCCAAAACTTTTCCCCAAACTATCTAAGCATTAGTTTTTTAATCTATAAAATATAAATGGCATCATCTTCCTCAGATAGTGGAGAACAGAATGCCCAACGCAGAGCAGATTCTACACAAAATTAGTCCTCTTCAACATACTTCCTACTGGAGAAGCTGGGGTATGAACAGTTTGACCTTAAGAATCTGAGCAGAAGCTGAGTATAAGAGGTACTAAAATATTAAGGTGAATTTTTGTTGTTGTTGTTGTTTTTTGACAAATGGATAGTTATTTTAAAACACTAAGGGACTATTTTTAGAACAAATTTTAACACTTCAGCTTATTTACCAAATCTGGAAAATAGAGTAAAACAATCACCAATAATCCTACCATCCTAACCCAACTACCACGATCACTTTGTTCCAGTGTTTTGCCACATGTAGATGTTTAACTGTTGTGACAAGGTGATCTCTCTATTTACCTCTTCTTTTGAAGCAGTATCTTCCTATCTACCCTTCCCATAGTCTTACCATTTATAAAACCCTAGAAGTTGAAGCATTATAAAAATTTGAAACATTGTCATAAGAACAACACTCTGCTATGACACCAACCCTAAACTTTGTCTTCTGCATGAAAGTCACTTGATCTTTCTAATGGGTATCAGGAAAAAATGAGAAACATCAATCAACCCTAAAGAAACTTAGAAGTATCCAAGTGAAAGCAAGAAGACAGTTCTGTGAATCATTCTACATTAAGAGGTAATTGAGTATTTCTCATCATATAAGTAGAGCCTTGATGATCCTGGGAACAGGGCTGTAAGGGTCCCTCATAAGGAAAAGTGTGTCTCACAGCTGTGACCCAGCATCGAGGCTGAGGACAGAATCAGTGCTGACTCATTGGCAAGTACTAATCTGCCAGCTAAGTTATTATTTCCTATAACTCATTCATCTGACACACAGAAAGCAATTTCTCCCCACACCCTGCCCCCTCCCACAACCTAATCCTCCAAAAATAAAGTCCCACCACTAACTGCTTCCTGTCCCTGTACAAAGCTTTATTTATTTATTTAAAATATTTTCAGGCTTGCCATAGATATTATAAATGGAAGTATTTAATGTTATGCATATATTAAAGTAAGGCTGGAAGACAACGGGAAGAATCCAAAATATCTGAGGGAAGTGAGAGAAACGTAGCATGAAGTATATTTATTTGCATGTTGACCCCTCAAACTACTTGGCTCTTACCTTATAGAACAAAGTATCTCAGGATTCTAGGGCTCAGTTAAATTATGAAACTAGTTATGCTGAATGAGGTCAAGCCAAGAGGTATGACAAAATGTTGGTAAAAATCCTGGACCCTGAGGTCATAAAAATCTGAGTTCAAGCATGTCTTTTACTTACTGGCTATGGGACCTTGTTTAAGTTGACTTAACTTCATAAAGCCTCAGTTTTGTTAGCTGTAAAATTTAAATAATTGTCATTACTATCTCATAGGTGCTTCTGAGGATTAAATGAGATAATCTGTGCACCTAGTACAGCACCTGGCCTATAGTAAATCTTTAGTAAATTTTTGTAAGTATCATGATCACATTATTGTTACCTTTTTATTAAAAAAAAAAAAAAAGGTAGGAAGAAAGCAATCTTATGTAACTATTTGCAGTATTGTTTATATATTCTGTCATAAAAATAATAGGTAGACACACCAGTATAAGCATTCACACACAACGATGTTCCTTCCATTCATTGGTTTTAGAGTATAAGGTAGGGTATCATACAAGCAGGTGCCTCCAGTGAGGAGGAAGGAACCACCTTCTCATGTGTAAACTTTTAGTAATGGGCTTGCATATATGAGGTTATTCCTTTCAGTCCGAGAGCTGATTACCTGCATATTGTTGTATATGGATATTATATAGAAAGTTATTCAAGGGAGTTCAGAGCTGCCAAGACAGCCGAGACTTGAAGGGAAAGATTGTAGAAAGAATGCAGGTGCAAAGAAACAAGCTCCATACTCAGCACTTGATTTCCTCTTCAGGCTGATTCTTAAGCTATATAAAGAAGAGATTGTAGCTATATAGAAAATCCAAGATTTCAGCATTCTCAATTTTAGAACTCACCAAAGAGGAGGAGTTCCTAATAAATATTCAAAGGCTCTCATTTTGGACTTCTGAAGTCCTAGAAGAGGAGGCAATTTTGAGGTAGACAGATCTTTACAGAGACTCCAACCTAGCCTCCCATAAGTTACTCTCTGATTAGGTAATGTAACTCTTTCCCATTTCAGTTGTTTACAAAGAAAAGATAACATGAATCCTCTCTACAGGAAAGGAGTATCATTGAGACATTCTTTTTACATATAATGCCCTTCATTAAATCAGAAATTACTTGACATTCCAAGAAACAAAATTAAAAGAAAAAAATAGACAATAGAAATAGGCCTATAAAAACTCTATATATTAATTTTCAAACAGGCTTCAAAAATAAGTATGCTTACTATGTCTAAGAAAATAGAACAAAATGGAGAATGTCACCAGAGAACTGGGAATCTATTAAAAAAGAATCAAATGGACATTCTACAACTGAAAAGATAGTAACTAAAAGTCCTTAATAAATGTGTTCAGTGGCTAATTGGTCACAACTGAAGAGGAGATTATGGAACTAGCCAAAACTAAACCAAACTTACTGCCGTTGAGACAAATCTGACTCATAGTGGCCCCTCCTTGGGTTTCAGAAGCAGAACCTATGGAAGTAGGATTGCCCAGTCTTCCTTCCCAGGAGTGCTGGTGGGTTTGAATCACCAGCTTTCTGGTCAGTAGTCAAATGCCTTAGACAATAGAAAATATCAGACTGAAATATGAACAACAAAATGGTTGGAAAGAGATAAAGAGAAACACAGGGCCTGGTGAAAAGACCTAATACAGATGTAATTGAAGTCCTTGAAAGTAAAAAAGAGAAAGAGATGGACAGAATCAATATTTGACAAGATAATGAATAAAATTTTTACAGAATGATGAAAGACCGTAAGACACACACTCAAGAAGCTCTAAAACTTCTAAATCCAAAGAAAATCACACTTGGATAAATCATAGTCAGATAGGTGAAAACAAAGACAAATTTAAAAAAACGTTCTAAGGAGTCAGAGAAGTAGCACATTCAAAAGATCAACAATGATAAGTAGCACATTCAAAAGA